TAGCCTTTTGAGAGGCATGGGGAAGGGGAATTGGTTGTGAAAGTTAGGGACTCCCTTCAATTTATCAGGAGAAGAATTGCTATAGAGCCAGTAAGAAATAAGTCAAAACTTTCATTCCTCCAGATGCCCTTCCAACAAAAAATCGCTTTATAATGTGCTAACTAATATTCTTAAGCAAGCATTTAGTCACTCTATGTGAGTTACGTTTATTTAATAATTGATATTGGAGTATTTACCCTTAATTTAATGGGTATGCCTCATTATGCCATTAAATTCCATTAGGCATTGTCGCAACAACGTTTTTTGTATCCAGACATGACAAAAGTTTCAACCTCTACTGGGTTTTAGCTTAGTGCCAACTTAATTAGAATCCAGATCGCAAGTATAGCGACAACACATTGCTAGCTCAAATCACGCGTAAATTGGGATTATCAATAATTAAATGCTATTTGCCATTATAATAACCGTGCTACTTATTTTTGATAAAGGTAGTGTTTTAAAAATATTAGCAATTTTGAGAATAATCACAGGAAAAATAATTAAGCCACAGGAAACCCTTATAAATAAATGTTTGCCCAAACCAGTGGCATAAAATGATATGATACCAGCAAAACTATCCGCCTACTAAGTCTTATGCATTTCCCCATCCTCCCCGCCTTAATATTATTTTGCAAAACTTGGATAAAAGAATACAATAAAATACACTTACTCCATTTGCTCCTGGCCTCAGTAGGTGATAAAATGCAACAACAGCTTCTAAGCCTGTCAAGATTTCCTGGATGAAGAGAAAACTGCTAACGCATGTCGACTGATGCTGCGGTGACGGATAATTGGTCTGCTCTTTATCGCCATATAGCCTCATCAAGTTGTGCATGCCATTCTTTTTTACTTTTCCGTGTCATCTTAGTTAAGTTGCCGTAGCTGCCCAAAACGCCAGTTGATCGCACAACTGTGTTGTTCGCAGAAAGGCTCACCGAACCCAAACGACCTCTACTGGCTACAAACCTGGCCCTCGGGTGGTTAACTAATGCGTGACTGGGTCGGGCTTGAAGCAGAGCCGAATCTTGCTCACGTGATGCCGTTTGAACTTTAAATCGATGGTTTCATCTCGATGACTCATCGCGTTAGCTTCGAGTTACTGAAGCAGGCGCGTGTAATCTAACTCTCGACAAAGGCTAAACCAGACTAGCCTGAAAAGCTTGTTAAAGAGGATGGGTGAGTCGGCTAGTTGGATTGGTATCTTGCCCTTTCAGGCGAAGGACAGTCCCAAGGGAACTCGGCTCTGTCGAGAAAATGCGTTTCAAACGATACCAAATGAAAGCTTAATCCTATCGTTCTGGGAAGAGCTCCACCATCGATGGTCCTCAAATCCCTCTAGCCGACTTAAGATGAATGAGTTCTATTTACGAAGTTGTGCTAGTCGCACAAACAACCTCCTTGAGAGTAATTAACTTCTATTCAGATAAGGTCGGGTATTACTAAATCCCAAATAAGAGTTAAAAGACAACTACTTGAACTTTCTCACGATCATGCGAATAGGCTCTACGTTTCCGGTCAACTTCGCATAGCTTTGAAGGTATTATGATCTCGTTTTCGCAAGACTGACTGACGATACCGACTTCGATGCCGGAGAAGCACCTGAGAACGTGCCGAATCCACGGGCAAACGCTGGGAACAACGATGATTACTGTGGTAGAGGAGTTCGGACAAAGTGCGTCCAACTAAGTCGCCCTGACAAAACAGCCAAGTCGATAGAACGAGACCAGCCCACCGACCCACACAGACTGAGACCAAAAAAAGGCCACGTCATCTTGGTCTTCATCTCTGAGTCAACACGGCCTTGCTTTACGAAGGTTATTCTTATCCAGGCAGTTTCGACCTCATCTTCGTCTCCTCAGCACCCCCAGCGGGACTCGAGTCGTGATAGTGCGAGGTATACTCTCGACACGTTAACACTACGCCACACCGCAACGGTGATCCTCGATTAGAGGATAGACGTAACTCTCTCATCTCATTTTTAGTGGGTTTAAGGAAAAGTAAAATTGTATTTTTTCATTACAACTGACTATGTTACTCATATTCAGAGGAAGTAGGTTGCCCAGACTATGAGTAGATCTTAGGCAAGAGTTATAGTCATTCTTGGTCACATAAGAGAGGTAAAATTCAATTCTAAGTCTTTGCACGACCTGGGGTGACTAGAATTCCTACTCAAGATGTACTATAGTGTCGGAAACCTACTTTATCTTAATACAGTTAACATAGTCCATTGTAATAGAAAAATAGGCTCTTGATTTTTCATTACCGAACCTTAAAAGTGATATGAGAGAGGCCAGGCCTTCTTTGAAATTCACGTGATTCAAGGGCATTCGTAGCAGTGCAACATAGTGTAAACCTCTCGGGACTACATGTGTCTATTGAGGGTGCTGAGGAGACCTAGACGAGACCAAAATTGCAGTCCACTCTGGATGAGAATGTCTTTTGGCTGCTGAAAATCTGTGGAAGCGTTAGGCCTACTCACATCATTTTAGGAGAATTCAGCTTCCAGTCCTTCATCAAATTATGCGAACTAGGATGATTAGGACTCTTATTCGTAATTGATTTCATCAATTGTAATGACTGACTTGTTGCCGTATCGACATTTCCAGCATAGCTGTGATGTGGAAGAGGCCTGATCTGCCTCGAAAGTCGCATCTGCCTTGTGACAGACTGGTATCCGTGGCTATAGCGCAATGAGAGCGCCGCCATGACGCTCACTACCCGGCTTCGAGATCCATTTTAGGGTGCTGATCAGATGGTGAGGTGAGGTAGAAAGTTAAGTCACCTCTGGACGAGAAGACTTTCGGAGATTGCAGGATGGGTGAAACTCACAAGCAAATATCTCCTATAATCCTTAAATCACCTAAAGCGACCTCGGGAGACTATTTCTTATTTAAGCACTATTGATAGTCCCGTAGACTGCTCTCATCAAAAATATGTTAAAGCAACCAAATATATTTGCTGGTGATGAACAGCTAATTTGTTCGCGCGCTTTCCCTCCGCCCATCTTCCTAGAAAATGCTGTGCACTGGCCAAATACGAGCAGAAATAGATGGACCTCAATGATTACCCTCACGATTGCACGGACTAGGGAAACTGCTTTGAGAGTCAATCACAGATTTTAGGTGGCATGAGCAAATGCATAGTCGAATAGATGGATTGCTGGGCATGTGGGCATTTTGTGGTTTGGACAGCCATACTTTCAGTGCACGCCTTCATGTCTGAGTCAGGAGTCTCGTTCAAGCATATACAGAAGTACTAAAGGACTGACCTTTCTAACGAGCACCACTTATGACTGAGTTCGGTAGAGTAATTGCATTACCTAGCTACGCAGCTAAGGCCTGGAGATGCGGAGCCAGATACGTGCCAGCATCGGCCTCAGTGGGCAGCCGGTAAATATGCTGATTATCTGCGGCAGATGGACCTGAAGACCGGTCGGCCTACCCCTGGACTGCCTAGAGCAGCCTCATTTACTCAAGTGCCTATCTAACCCGTCTCACGACCCTCGCAAGTCATGCCAAATAGCCTTATTTGGCTAACTCTATAAGCCACCAAATTTATTTCTTGATGCATCCTCACCATATGTAATGGCAACATCAGCACTGTGTCTTGGATACCATCATTCGTCATAGTAATAGGGGTAAATAATTGCATCAAGGGCGATACTTGAAGATAGTCTGTAGTGTCTTAAGTTCCCCGCCCAAATGGAATTCGTTTCTTTATTTGCAGAATGGAAAATTAATTGGAACAGGTGTTCAAGAGTGCTAACAAGGGAGGGGGGGCTGTCAGTAGAAGGGTATCCTGTAGCTTCTGAATTTATTGGCATCATCCAAAGATGCTTTTGGCCAAAGACAATGTTGTATGCCAGTCAAAAATATTATGTACAGGTACAAAATAAAAATAGGCAAGTCATGTAATAGTGCCCATAGGAAAACTATGATATATTTTAGCAGCAATTTTTCGTGGTTATTTAGTAGCTTTGTGGGAAAGTTAGTTAAATGTAATGAAAAGTCTACATATCAAAAGATACTACTTGATAATTGACTTAAGTGGGCCCGACGGTCCCATTGAATTGATGCGGTGTCATCGTGAAGCCCACTTATTTAATTATGGGGGACTGTATATCAAAATAAGTGTGGAGGACCAAATAACTCGTCTGTGCCTGTACTAGTTTAGTTATCTCCTTTAATCTATTCGACCCTGCATTCGTACCAGCCCGGCAATTTTTTGTCTCCCCTTTGTATCGGCTAAAAAGTGCCCTGAGCAGCGGAACCAAACCTATAATTAAACCACCCTACCGCATTTCGGAGGGTTTGCCTCTCTATTTCCTATATATTCTAATTAACCTTAAGCAATATTTATTTGATTTTAAAAAGGGGCTATTACCCTAGGTTTTATGAGAAATTTTTCCAATAACCAGCATAAACTATTGAAATATCCTGATTTCCATATAGCCACATGATAATCATTAAAATATTATTATATATGGTGCATCTACACTCTCCAACACCTTTTTCTTCTACATGCATACGCACCTGTCAATCTTCCCTTAAAGGCTAAAAAGAGGAAATATATGTGGATCTAACTCGAATTAGTGCTACTTGACTTTTCATTTCGACGTCGAAATTAGTTGAGAAGAGCTTGCGAATTGGTCTCATCGTAAACCAAAAAGGTGAAGACCGTAGGATTGTGTGAAGAAGTCTTCTGCCCACTGTTCGGAGACTACGGCAAACTCGTGTTAAGTTTTCGTTTTATACATGCCAGACATCGTCATATGAAGAAATCAGCATTTATGAAAATACCCTCAAAAGTACACTAGTGTATTGTGTTTTGGAAAATGATGTCTCACATGAAGGTGAAAGCTTAGTACGAGTTCATCAGGGTCGCAGGACTGTGTGCCGAGGACTTCTTGGCAATGCCGTCCTCGTTCGGTTTCCTGTGAGACTTTTTCTTATAAATGAAAATTCAAGTCACACTAAATCACTCATGGCTTCTTAAAAATTCCGTTTTTCATCAGTGATATTCCACTCGAATATTTTGATTGAAATACTGCATTCTAAACAACGGAAGATTTGTTGTTTGGTGTGAAATTGCATGATGAAAAGAATCGTAAGTTGACAAGTCCATAATCGTTTTTGTTTTAACACGGAGTTCAGGTTGACGAAGTAATTGAAACATCATCCCTCGTTTCAGGGGAGAATCGGCTATGCTTTCTCTCATCATATGATAGACATCATCAGAGGTGGAGGAAATTCTTGCAAACGATTGTCTTTAGACCTAAATAAAAAAGAGTATTGCCGGGATTTTCGTTAGATATATAGATGATTATTTCGCAATTTTGCAGAATGCTAAGGATATATTAGATAATTTCTTCTTCTTACTTAACCAACGGGATAGTAATGTTAACTTGATAATATAAACTGAAAAATGTATTAGTTTACCATTTGTAGATGTTTTGGTTATCTGTATCGGAAGGAAATAGGGCAGGGCTGCATAAAGGAAACTAGCATAAACGGACTCTATCCTTAATTTATTCTTTAACCATAGGAATAGATGAAGGAAGGTATTTTAAATTCATTTATTTTTCGGAGTATAAGCTTGGCTTATAAAGACAATTATGATAATGAGTTTGGTAAACTTAACCTAATATTAGACAGTAAATATGAAGACCAAGATAACCTGATATTTTGTTTGGTCATAGCCTACTTTAACTGAATAGTGACGGCTTTACCTCGCTTTCGCAACTTAGTCTGAGCGACAGGGAGACCATGTGGGACGTATCTAGTCCTGCGTCCTCTGCCATAGTATTCGTGATGATTTCCAGAATTGGACCGTTGACTTGGTACATTCCCAGACACCGTAGTTGACATCGGCAGTAAGACATTAAACTAATATTCATTAAAAATAATTATTTTCTAGGCTTGATTAAAAATAATATTAGATTAATGAGGAATGCTTTTTCAACTAGGGAATATTTATGGAGAGAGGAAGAAAGAGAAATCTCCTCTTCTGTCCTGACTTTGTGTTCGTGCTTTCTCTCAAAAATGTTTGATAGCTTGTAGGATAGTGGTAAATAAAAAAGGTTTTCAAGAAAACTGTAAAACAATCTATAGAACAAATTGACCCATTTTCTATATAAGTATGATATAAAATAATTTGTTCATGTTAGAGAGACACGTAGTCCCATTTGACGAATGATGGCTGAGCATAAAAGTGCCTGTAGAGGCTATTGGGTCCAACGATCCGAGTTAGCGAAGCTGACAGCAGAAGCTGTAAATGTGATGGGATTGTCTCAAACTTGACATTTTACTGCTTATGGAACTTTTGCAACTTAGTGCATAGAGAAATTATCAAACTCCACAGGATATGCAAAATATTGAGAGCCAAGAACACTGGTAAGGAGTTATGTTAAGAACTATTTATGCTTAATTGGTAGAATTCAAGAAATAAAGTGTGTCTAATAGTCTAGAAAAGGGAGGCGACTCTACTAAGCTTTATAGGAGCTGTAGTCAAACTATTTTGTTAAAGGGGATCAATGACTGGTAGTTGAATTCCCCCACAATCATATCGGTAGGCCTTACATGTCTATTGAATTTCACATATCCTTGCTTCGCAAATGGTATTCTCATCCAGACAGGAGTGGAACGCAGCTCCGACCTCGCTTGTACTGGTCTCATCAGCACCCCCACCGGGACTCAAATAGTGATAGTGCAGTGTATAATCTAAACACATTACTTCCTACGCCACCTTGCCATGAGTGCCCTTGATTCACAGTGCAAATGTACATTTCACGGCAGGCAAGGCATTTTCCCATATCATATTCGTTAAGGAATTAAGGACATGACGGGTGTAGAATAAGCGTGAGGCCAGTAATGGTAGTCAGTTAAATACCACTACTGTCGTAGTCCCTTTACTTATTCTGTGAAGTGGGGCTTATTACCAGATTTTGTTGATAATCCTTGCCAGTGTGCCGAATTTCCTGGGTGCCACCCTAGATAAGTATATTGTTTGCGAAGCAAAGTTATGTGAAATTAGATGGAAACAGTAGGTCTTCTCATAACATTGTGGGAAAATTCAACTACCAGTCCTTCATCACCTTAGACCGAAATAAGGCAAATACAGCTCTCTCTCTCTCTCTCTCTCTAACACGCACACACCACACACACCACACACACACACATATATATATATATATATGCTGATGAAAATCTCCGCAATTTAGCTAGACATGTGTCCGACACTACTCAATCGGAGTGAAGGATAAAAAAAAGAGACTCATTAAATCTTGATGACCGGGACAGATGTTGCGCTCTGTTATAATTACTATTAGGTGTACATGCTGGTTTCGTAATTATACGTATACATGAATGCACATCATCACACACAAGCATGCGCAGACATATGCGTTTAAATGACTTGATAAATGGCGCCAAACAGAATTTTCTAGTAAAGCCAAACAACATCCGGCCAAGAGGAATTTGCCTTGTCTTCTGGTGGGATTGCTATTCGAATGCCTTCATCACGCACTTTCACTTGAAATGAAAGTGAGCTCACTAGCTGTAAACAAAAGGCGGCCTTGGAAACCAATTTAATGTCAAGAAGACTGACTGGATCTACTTTAAATGCTATATGTACTAGCTAAATACGAAAATATATAGATATTAAACGATTGAATACCCTGACTTACACAATTACAAATTATTATATCAACAATTTGATCGGACTTACGCAATTCAAGTCAGACTTATATCTGGGTCATTAAAGCTTGATGACGCAGGAATCACGCAAGGCTGTATTGCAATAATTCTGAATTGTGACCGGTTTTACTTAATCTGACCTACACGCATACGGACAAACAAAAGCACACAAAGTATGAAAATTTATACTAATATTTAAACTAGCCAAATCATTATATTTCTACCTATTTCTATTCATATATCCTTGTCTTTAGCTGTGAGTATATATATATATCATGAAAGATAGAGTAGGCTAGCCTCCTTGTCATAGGACCTAAAAGAGATATGATGCATATATAATAGATTGGGCATCAGTCAGGTTGCTTGTGATGATTTAAGGACTGATGAGTTTTGCTAAAATGAGATGATAGGCCTAACTATGCTATTTACTTTCACTTAACCTTCTATCCATAAAAGCTATCTCATCCAGATTGGACTTCAATTTTGGCCTCGCATAGATAGCATTAGCGCCCCCGACGGGACTCTACATAAGGTCGCGTGTATTGTTGCGTGTATTGTCCAGTAGGCATCTAAGGATGCCAGTGGGTATCAGGACAAATGTGAAATTCAAAGGAAGTCAGGCCCCCCTCAAATCCCATCGCCACGATACTCACGATCCGGTGTCGAGTACTGTCGGAGGTGCTTAGTAGACCTAGGCAAAGTCAAAACTGCTGTCCGCTTTGGATGAAATGCCCTTCTGGGAGGCAGGATTAAGTGAAATTCAATGACATCCTGAGGCCTAGGTATCTCTCTA